GCCTCCTCTACCTTTAGATCCATAAATTCTTCAGCCCAATCCACTTCCCTAACTAATTTCCTTAATTTTTGAAAGTCAGCCCTTTTGAAATCAAAAACCCTAGTTGCAGATTTATTTTTGTTAATCCTTCCGTTCAGTTTGAACTGAATTAGCTCATGATCACTTGAGCCAAGATTATCCCCTACAACCATTTCTTCTATGAGGTCCTCACTACTCACCAAAACCAAATCTAAAATGGCATCCCCTCTAGTCGGTTCAGCAACTACTTGATGAAGGAATCCATCCGCTATCGCATCTAGGAAAATCTGAGCCCTATTGTTATTACTAGCACTCGTTCTCCAGTCTATATCTGGGAAGTTAAAGTCTCCCATGATCATGCAGTTTCCACTAGTATTTACTTCATTAAAAACATTAAAGAGGGCTCTATCCATATCCAAATTAGATCCTGGCGGTCTATAGCACACCCCAAGCACTATCCCAGGGGAGGCTCTAATAGTTTTCTTCCCCAATGTAATTTTTGCCCAGGCGGACTGTCTTATCCATTTCATCGCTTCTTATTTTTTTACATTCTACCTCATCATTGATATACAATGCTACTCCACCACCTTTACCTTTATTTCGGTCTTTCCTAAACAGCACATACCCTTCAATACCTGTAGTCCAGTCATGACTACTATTCCACCATGTTTCTGTTATCCCTATAATATCTGGTTTCACTTCCTGCACCAGTAGCTCTAGTTCCTCCATTTTGTTACCTAGGCTCCTTGCATAGGTGTACAAAAGTCTTAATTTTTGCTGTTTGGCCTCACTCACATTCTGTACCCTATTAGGCACAGTCATTCTACAGCCAGTATAACCTATTAGACTGGTATCTACACTGCCCTTCCTCCTACCCCCGGCTGTATCTTCTCCTACTTCGTTTTCTTTCCTCTCAATGCTAAAATCTGGCATGGAGATTACCTGGACATCTCCCAGCCATCTCCCCCAAATTCCTAGTTTAAAGCTCTCTTAATCAGTTGTGCCAGTCTCCATCCTAGAAGTCTATTTCCTTCCCTACTCAGATGAAGTCCATCCCAAGAGAACTGTCCTCTGTCCATGAATGCCTCCCAGAGGCCATACATCCCAGAGCCCTCCTTATAGCACCACTGCCTAAGCCATCTGTTGATAGTCATAATCTTGTCACACCTTTGTTGCCCTTCTCTAGGAACAGGCAGAATCCCACTAAAGATCACCTGAGCCTCGATTTCCTTAAGCGTCTTCCCCCTGCCTAGCATAGTCTCCCTTAATACTTTCCAGTGAGAATCTAGCCGTATCATTTGTTCCCACATGAAGGATAATTAAGGGATTCTTTCCTGCTCCCTTTAGAATCCTTTTCAACCTCAGGTCTACATCCCGTATCTTAGCACCTGGAAGACAGTACACCCTCCTATTCTCTGGATCAGCTCTGGTTACAGGCCTGTTTATTCTTCTCAGTAAAGAGTCCCCAATCACATAGACCTGCCTTTTCCTGGTGACGGTGCTATTCTCCAGTCTATCCCCTGTTCCCTCTGGCTGCAAGTTCTTTCCATTCCTGTTCTCCCTTGTAATAGTCTTTAACCCATCCTGTATCCTCCTGGGGCTCATATTTGGTGTAGTCTCCATTAACTCTTCCCCTTTTCCTATAGGACTAGCCGCTCTTCTCTTCTTCCTTGCCCTTCCACCTTCGGTGACTACCTGCTGAGCCCCTTCTTCATTTTCCAACTCTGCAAACCTATTCTTGAGCTCTATTTCTCCTTCACTAGCCAGACTCATAGCTGGTCATTTGCTTGTGCCATCACTATGTTATGTGGGCACATGTGCTGTGACTGCACACACATTAGGCATACCACTGATGTAGATTTTGTCCACCTGCATTTGTGCACGCAGGATTTTGAGAACAGAGTCCCTAACGTGTCTAGTCCCATAATGTGTGTAGGATCTGTTTGATCAAATCTCCTTAATCCGTCTAAGCATTTATAATGCTCTCATCACTCTGTCTTTCAATCAGCACTGTTAATTAGTCCATTAATTTTTGGGAGTAATATTCCAACTCCACTCGAGTACAAATGATTATTTAAACTCACGTGTTGGGTCATTGGGATCTTGAAGTTTAAAGCTGATTATAGTTATAATTGCCGTCCCAGGGAACTATCTTAAAATACCTTTTGCATCAGGATTTGAGAACCAGCCTCTTTAATTACTGAGTTTCAGGACCATACTGAGAGCTTTTCAGTGTCCACAGCTATGCCTTGTATAGGCTTCCATATACACTGCCTTGTATAGTCTTACATATATACTACCTCACTGGTCCTTCAGTTCGCCAAGACTTCACAACTGAATACCACGGCTTTTAAATTGTGATTTAAATCTATTTAAAAAGTTGACTTGAAATAAAAATCTTAAGTGTGGAGGGACATATGCATTGAAGTGAGTGACTGAAATGGAGCACAGTGTTTTACCGATTGATCCATGTAACTTTAACTAGAGAACTGGGTACCTGAATAGCTCAGGTTTCAGAGTAGCAGCCATGTTAGTCTGTATTTGCAAAAAGAAAAGGAGTACTTGTGGCACCTTGGAGACTAAGAAATTTATTTGAGCATAAGCTACAGCTCACTTTATCGGATGCATTCAGTGGAAAATGAATAGCTCAGGACACTGATAATGGGCTATGGAAGGGATCCTCCCCACCCTGCAGTGTATTCTGTTTTGTTTTGTTGTCTCCTTCCTCTGAAACATCAAAGATGGCCACAGCTGGAGATGGGACATGGAATGGGGTGGGCCGGTACTTCGAGGTGGCACAGAGCAGTGGTTCTCAACCAGGGGTACATGTACCCCTGAGGGTACACAGAGGTCTTCCAGGGGGTACATCAACCCATCTAGATGTTTGCTTAGTTTTACAACAGGCTACATAAAAAGCACTAGCGAAGTCCGTACCAGCTAAAATTTCGTACATGCCTCCCAGGCTCCTTGTCCCAGTCTGTTTGCCCAACTAGTGAAGATTGAGACCTGTTAGGTTTCACAGACTGGTTGGCTCAAGGGACCGATAACTCTATGCAGTCTTTTCCTTCTTGACTGCTGGTTCAAATCCTACTCAGGTTGGTAGTGAGTGATGGAAAGTTGTTGCCATTTGATGGCTATATGGTGGCCAGTGTATGGTTGAGGTATGTTGGTAGGGCAGTACAGAGAATGCTTGCTTATACTGGTGTTATATATGTTGCAACCATTCTGTGGACAAACAGAAGAGTAAAGACTTCAGAGCTGTCAAGCCAACGCTTTCTCCTAGCACCATTTCACTTTGAAAAGAAAATGCAAGGAGCTCAGTTTGACTTTGTTTTCTTAAAACACTTGGGTTTCCCCCATATGTTTGCAACACAAGTGGTTCGATACATATCAGGGAGGATGAAATGCTGTGTGCTGACCTACAGTGTATTTGCTTTCACACCATTTATGTAGTTAGGTTCATATCTTAGTGGGGCTGTAGTAGTCAGATGATTGTTAAGTGTAAATGTTGACAGCGAGTATCCTGTGTGCTCAAGGTAAGCAGCTTTGCTGGAGATAACACAGAGTGATTTTGCCTCTGAAACAGTGGCGTTCCTCCGAGGTCCTTCACCCGATGCGTGTCGATGAGGAAGGTGGACAGAAACTGCACATTTATGACAGGCTAATCTGGGGCTATGAAACATAAGGACAAAGCATTCATCTCCCTTAGCCAAGTGCTTGTTGCTCAAAGGGTAGTGCCTTTGGAAAGAACTAAAGAATGTTTCAGTAAACTGTAAGCGTGACGTCATTCACTGGTTTGTGTGGGAGCTAACAATGGCCCTGTACTTCCAAAGTCTTCGGGCTAGTCCTATCAGACCTCCCCCTCTCATCCCTCCATAATGCTATTTTTTTGTACATTATGGAGTTGGGCACCCAAGCTCTTCTAGTCTGCAGTGGTGACACATAGTAATGGCACAATTATCATGTGAGTTATGTGGTATCGTGGTATCTCATGATCTGATATTGTGCTGAGCCAGAAGAAATGGTGTTACTGTCAGATCTCGAGCAGTAATTATCATAGCTGTAAACCATAAAGGTGTCTGATGTCTCATCAGATAACTCAGCCTGGTGAAATGCTGGAGTGTTGGTGTTTTTGTATCTCTGTAGATAAGGAGAGCTCTCTTGTCGTGACCGCTAAAACTGCTTCACAGTTAGCTACAAAAAGGGAGCCCCTTAAAATTCAGGGAAATGGATATGTAGCTGGATTGGATTTGATTCAGTCAGGGCCAAATCTGAGGGATGAACTCACTGGCCAGCAAGCCTTAAACCTGGCAAACTATGTTTCCTCTGTGAAGCCAAGTCCTGATAGACCCTGTAAGGCTTACAAGCCAAGGTTTGGGAGGGAGGGATGTCACACCTAGATCACAGCCAGAGCCAGAGCCCTCTCCTTATCAGGAGAAGTCCCCTGGCATTCTAAGTCAATGCTTTCTCCTTCCAAGTGGCTTGTGCTGGTGAATGGGGGAACATAATGCCATCAGGGACATCAAGGTGTCCAAACATCTTCCAAACATTATCCCTCCCCAACACCCAGTTTCTGCCTTGTTCCCGTCAGTCCTGGATCATTCCCAGTAGCCATTTGGCTGCTCATGGTTGAGTTGACACCAAATTCCCTGGAGTAATTGGGGCAGGTTTCGGCTCCACCTAATTTACCCACTTTTCAGTTTGTGCAATGAGACTTCATATTCAAATTTTCATTGGACCAGAGAAAACCTGTCCCTATGAGTTATCACCTTCTTAAAATAGGGGTTAAAAATGGGAAAGCCTAACAAGTCTCAGAAGCAATTGGGGAAATGTGAGACCCACCCAAAATGCTGTTCATTGTAGTGTGTCTGTACTTCACCCAGATGAAGAGTGTTGCTAATACTCAGTGGCAGAGTTATATGTTGGGTCAGGAAGCTCATCGTAATTCCTCAATAATAACAATTCTTTCCCCTCTTTTTTAGAATGGCAACAAAGACAACTCCCTGGACATGTTGGGGACAGATATCTGGGCAGCCAATACCTTTGATTCCTTCAGGTAAGCTCCTTTAAAAGCCCTTTTACAAGACAGATGGAATATGACCTCTTTTGTCCTTCTCCTCAGGGCTCTTCTATAGACATGCAAGCATTGCAACTTGGAGACTGCCATGCCTCCTCCTCTCCAGTCCAGTCCCTCATCCTAAATGCAGATAACGTGCACCTTATTTTTGCTGGAGTTCAACCTAGAGGAGGTCGGTGGGATTGTTTGCACACCAAACATCTGAAAGGTGCACTAATGTGACTAGTTTAAGGTGATGTCTGTGCTACAGTTGGACGTGTGATTGCACATTGTGGAGGCATATCACTGCCAGCTTGAATAAAAATAGCAGTGAAGACGTGGTGGCACTTGGCTGTACAAGCCCTCCCAGAACCCTGGATACATACTCATATCCCTAGCTTGCACAGGGGTCCATGCTCCGTGTCTTCATGGCTGTTTTTAACCATGCTAGCTACCTGAGCTGCAATAACACCTCCAGTTGCTGTGTAGGCATGCCCATATCTGTCGAGGAATCTTGATACACAAAAGCGAAGAGGCCTCTCAGGGACTTGGGTGAATCCAGTTGTTTGTCCATATATCAGCAGTGCATCAGTTTATATATCATGCAGTTTGCATCAGTACTTGTGGCAGGAGCTCTTCAGTTTCCATTCCAGCACGTGGGCACTGAGAGGGTACTGCTGCAATCAACCACGAAAGATTAAATCAATAAAATAAACTTTCCTCTCAGCTTTGTGCTCCATTCTGTGCTGTCCATAGAGCACTGCAGGCTTTGCTCTCGGGAGGGAGGGGTCCTCCTTGGCACTTGTTGATCCTGTGCCCCAGGCTATGTAATGCACATTCCAGCAGGGATCTTCCAAGCAAGAGATGAGGATTCTTGAGAGGGCATCTCCACTGCATGGACCAGACTAGCTGCTGCAGCAAAAGACTGAGGGGAACTTTTCAAAAGCTAAGAGCGTGTGCAGCTAAGAAAGTTTAGATGCTGCACCTAAAGTTTTTATTAAGGGCAGTTAAGTGTGGCAGTGTAAAAGCTGGAGGTACCTGGTCAGGGACTGCTGGAAGTAGAAGCTATGTCTCCAGAGACAATAGCCTTTGGAAAGTAATGGGCAAGTATAGATGATATGCTCTTCCCAACATGAACACATTTCATTAATAGTGCGTTCTCTCTCTCCCTTCCTAGTGGTGCAACCTGGGATTTACAGCCTGAAAAGCTGGACTTCACACAGTTTCAGAGGAAGCTCCGGAACACCCCCAAACACCCGCTCCCGCACATAGACAGAGAAGGGTAAGTGCTGTGGTGTCGTCTTCTCTCATACTGTGTGGGTGTGTGTTTGTGTGCATGTGCTCAGCTTCAGGGTGGGGAAACACAAATGGGTCACACGTGGCAGGTATTAGAAATTTGAAGTGGAAGCTTGGGTCATCTCCTGGGGGCGGGGCTAGTGTGGAACTGTTCTGTTGCTTTGACCAGGCCAGTTTCCAACAAATATAGGGCCAAACTAAATCCCTTAGAGTCAAACATCTCTTAACTATGGGAAGGACTAGATCCCAGTTATCTGATTTGGGTCCATCTCTGGTTTAAAAAATCCTAAGGGACACAGCTTCCACCTCTTTTTCTCTAGCAAGATTTTCACAGTGCTATAGTGGAACACGAAAATATTCTTCATAAATTTTCCTTGCCATAATTTCATCCTATATCTCCTAGCCATAAACCTGTGTACATTATTAAACAGTCCCTTTCTATCCTTGGCATTTACACAGTCTAAATGCTTTTACACTGAGGCTGTATTCCTCCATTGTTGTATAAAGCTACAAGTATTTACTGATAATGTTCCCAGTCCTTCTTCATAAATCAGTCCTTGCAGTCCCTTCGTCATCTTTGTTCTTCTCTTCATTCCCTCCAGTTTATCAACCTGAGCCTCCTCCAGGTGCTCAGGTGTCCAGTACTGTGAGCAGTATTCTAGGTGTGACTCACCAGTGGTGGAGAAAGAAATCATTGCCTCACTGTTCGAGGCTTCTGCAAGTTGAGAAGTTGCCAGATCTTAATGTGGGTGGTCTCCCCTCTCCCAGCCAGTCAGTTCTGGCACCTAAACATTGACCAGTTAAGGAGCAGTGCTGGCTATGGATATGGAGGCAGCTGCATATTCTGTATGTCCTAGTTATGGCACGATATCAGTCAATCCTTGATGTAACTCCATAAAGTCTACCACAAATGGAAGGGTATAGTTTCTTTAGAGATAAGGATATAGTTACTCCAGGGCTAAATTTGGCCTCAGATAGCGCTCACTTTTGTCTGAAGAGGGATGAAAAAGTATGTTCCTGTTTAGAAGGAGTGACCAAAAGGATTAGAAATGCCTTTTATGTAATGAAGCCAGATGGCACTCATTCAGTTTTTCCATTTGCTGGAAAAAAATGTCAAAGTTTCAAGTACATTAAAACGTACCCCTCTAGGACTGAATGTTTAGTTAAGCATTGTATCGCAATTGGTGGAGCATCCCAAGGACAGGACTTGGTAACTTTCCCATTTTAGATAGCAGTGTGGAAGACCAGGCCCTTGAACTGGTGAGAAACAAAGCATGCTATCTTCGTGGTGCGCTCAGAACATTGGCCTAGGTCTTTGTGGACTGGCATTCTATGGAGTTTATAAATAGCATCTTAAAGAATAGCTAGAATAACCTCTAAAGCATTTTTAACTGGTGATATTTTTGTCTACCTCTGTTTTTAAGAATTTTGTACAAAGGGTGCTATGTAAAAATCAAATACATTGTGCTCAAGATCTCGTGGCTCTTTTCAGACAATCACAGCCATCAGAGGTGAAAGAGACCTTTTATATTCATTGGATCATCTGCCCTGCTAATGCAGGATTCTTTTGCACTATAGTAGATGTGTTCACCAATTTCTAATTGAGTGATTGCATTCTTCCTATATTCAGATTTACCTGATACAGTATTATTAATTTTCTGCCCTGAATTGGCATGCAGTGTTGCTGGGTGCCATTAAAAAGTTGTATTGTTTCATTGCAGAGGTGGCTGGATTTCAGCCGGGCAATGATTCTGCAGTTCAGAGTTTGCTTTGGGCTCCTTTTGGATGAAAGGCACTAGACAAATAAGTCTTTAATTCTACACTATTGAATGTTGGTTTGGGGTTTCTTTATCAGAGTCCAACGTAAATCCACAACAGCAAGGATAAAGACAAAACCCTATGCTTAATTCACCTTGTTATGCTCATTTGTTACAGGGACAGCGAGTGATCTTACTGACTGTAGTTGCTCAGTTCAAAAGGATGTGTCAGGAATGTCTTTGTGGGCTACCTCAGATGCATAATGTAGTTTAAATGCAGCAGGCTTTAGTGGGGGCGGACTCTGGGCGGGTTGATTGGAAATTAAAACTTTATCGTAATAAACTACAACTTTAGGCCTTGACCCTGCAGTTGGATCAGCATGGGTAGATCTGTGTGTCAACGTGGAGCATTGTTGAAAGCAGTGGGCCCCCATTTAGATGCAAGAGGCCACCCATGTGAATCTGATTGTAGGACTGGGGCTTTATTTTTGTTTGTTGCCTTTCACACAAAGTGTGCACCAGAACTCTTACCAGAACTAAATAATATAGCTGCCGAATTGAAATAAGAAGGGATAATAGAAATAGAAAAGTGAAATGAACATCATCAACTTAACAGCCATGCTTGAGTTTGAAAATATTTCCCAAGAATTGTCAGTAATACAAGTTACAAATAACCCCGATTAGAATTGAAAGACCAGAGAACAGTTTTTGTCTCTCTTTTTGCGTTTGCTTACTTTGTGCATTCAGCAGCAGTTTGTTTAGACTCAGCTTCTCTCTCTCTATCTCCTGGATAGTCAGCTAGTTAGTCAGTTTCTCCTTTTGCTTGTGCTGGTTTTTTTGTTCATCCAGGGACAGTGGGAAGAAAAACTTAAAGCTCATGTTCTGTTATGTCCCCTGTGATCCCTAAATCCTTTTCAGAGTCACTGTTTTCCAGGATACAGTCCCACATTCTGTTGGTACGACCTGCACTCTTTGTTCCTGGGTGTATGACCTTGCATTTGGCTGTAATGCATTTTGGTTGAATGGGCCCACCTTGCCAACTGATCCAAATCACTCTATGTGACTGTGGTATCATCATTATTTACCTACCAATCTTTGTGTCATCTGCAAATTTTATCAGCAGTGATTTTATGTTTACTTCAGATCATTGATGAAAATATTGAATAGTGTGGGGCCTGGAACCAATTTCTGCAGAACTCCACTGGAAACACCTCCATTTGATGATGATTCCCCATTGACAACTACTTCGTGAGATGTCTCAGTTAGCCAGTTCCTCATCCATTTAATGTGCGATTCATTAAATATTCTATAGTGCTATTTTTTTAATCAGAATGTCATGTGGTACTAAATCACGTGCCTTACAAAAGTCTACTACATCTGCATAGTTCCCTTTTATCAATCAAACTTGTAATCTTATCAAAAAATGAAATCGGGTTTGTTTGACAAGTTCTATTTTTCATAAAAATATGTTGACTGGCATTAATTATATTTCCATCCTTTCTTTATTAACTGAATCCTGTGTCAGCTTTTCTGTTATTTTTCTTGGGATTGATGTCAGGCTAATTGGTTTATAATTACAGTAGTTGGGTCATCCCACTTATCGTTTGTATGCACTGGCATAACACTAGAACTCCTCCAGTCTTCTGGAATTTTTCTGGTATTCCAAGGTTTATTAAAAGAGAATATCAGTAGGCCAGAGATTTTTTTCTATCCAACTCTTTTAGGACTCCTGGATGTGGTTAATGTGACCTCCTGATTTAGAAATGTTTATCCCTAGTATATACTGTTTAGTATCCTCCTTAGTTACTAATGGACTGAAAAGTTGTTCATTATCTTCATGTAATATGAGTACATCATCCTGCTTCTTTCCAAATAGAGAACACTAATATTTATGGAACACTGTTGCTTTTTCTGTTTTGTTAACAAGTTTACTTTACTATCTCCACCTAGTAATTGCCCTGTAGCATTGTTAGGATTTCTTTGTTCCTGATGTTCTTAATAAACTGAAACAAAATATGTTTACTGCCCTTAGCGTTGCCATGGATCTGGTCCTGATTTCTCTTGCTTCCTTTATCAGCTTTCTACACTTCATAACTTATAATTTATATTGATTGCTGTCTACTTCTCCTTTTATCCATTTGTTATATTATCTTTCTTAAACTATTTGCAGCCTTCACTTCCCCACCGAACTCAGATAGGTTTTAACCCAAAGTTGTCGTCTTCCTCAATTGTGGAATCATAGTTTATTTTTGGCCATCTAATGAAGACTTCTTAAAGAACTCAGAATTTTCATACACATTTGTCTAACTTTTTCCTCTGTTTTGCTCATAATTTTCCTCAGATTTGGGAAATTAGCCTTTTTGAAGCACGCAGTATATATATTACTGGTTGGGACTGTCCTTTGTTTATCTGTATTGACTGTGATCAGTCACGATCACTGGCCGCATTGAACATACATTAAATATTTGTAACCATATTTTAAAATCCAGTAACGGAAAGCACTTCTCTTTAGTTTTATTATATTTTTATTAAGGTTTATATGTATACGTCCTTATAACTCGAACAAGAAGGCAGGGATGAACATTGCTGAGAAAATTGCAAATGCATCCGATGAAGTGAGCTGTAGCTCACGAAAGCTTATGCTCAAATAAATTTGTTAGTCTCTAAGGTGCCACAAGTACTCCTTTTCAGTTAACATTCAGGGAGAGATAAAGGTGTTGCATGTGTGAATCTCCCATTTGAGCTCAAACTCTGCAGCTTTCCAGGCCCTTCTTTTTTAACCTTCTGTCCCCTTCTGTCCTTTTCTTTAAAAAAAAAATCCTCTATAAATCTGACACTGACCTATGCTTGAACCAGGGATGAGTGCTGAGAATTACAGTACGCTGGGAAACGTAAGGGATACAGACAGTTGTGCCAAAGTTTCTCATGCAAAAAATGTTCATGCACACAGAAACAAATAGTCATTGGTGCAAACAGATCTTGGAGAAGCAGTTATCTGTTTGGCATGGATGGTTATCTGTGTGCATGTGGATGTTTAGGAGGCATGGGTTATTTGGCCCAGAGATCCTCCCCATTCTTTTTTCCCCCCCATTTAAAGGTAGAAAACTAAACTCACCGTCTGTGGTGGGTGAGAAACGTTAACTTTGGTTTCAGTGGAGGTTTCACATGCTCTTTTTTTTTTTATTTTGTTGTTGTTCCTGGCTCAGGCTTGGAAAAGGGAAGCACGAGGATGGAGACGGAATCAACCTGAATGACATAGAGAAAGTCCTTCCCGTCTGGCAGGTATGTTTTGGTGGCACCGTATTGCTGATATATTGCTATTTTTCTCATTTGTTCGTATTGCTGATGAAGATGGCGCCTTCTCTTGTGCTGTACCCCCCATGGTTAGAGATCTAGCTGGTTATGTAAATTTAAGTCCTGTGGTCAGCTAGCTGTGATGTTTGTGTAATCCACAAGAGGGGAGTGTGGGTTTTTGTCTGCCGTTTGGGGGCTGTTTCTTTGAATCTGCTGTCACTTCCAGCTAAGGAACATAGACCTAGATTCACAGAAGCACTTAGGTGCCTAAACCGCAGATTTAGGCACTTAAGTCCCAGTTTTGAACTTCACTTGTTCACAGAACTCCCGCTGAACCTGTAGGTGCCTAAACTCAGTCAGCACCTTGCTTTTTGTAGTAAAAGCTCCTTAAGCACCTGTTTCTGCCTCTGGACATGCGCACTGCTGCCTCGTTCTAGGTGTCCGGATGTGTGTCTCCTGCCCAAGCACCAGAGCAAGTCATGAACCAGGGGAAGACAGGCATTCAGCTGCCTAATTCACAGGCAGGGCTTGATCCAGTAGCGTGCTCAGAGGCCGCCTACTAGATTGGGTCCCCATAGGGGAGTTTATAGAAGAAAGCTGGGGAGAGAGGAGGAGAGTCTCCCTTATAACATTTAGCCCAGTGGTTAGGGTATGCTGAAGACCCCGCCCAGTTCAGGTCCCCCCTCACCTGTGGGGGAGAAGGGATTTAAACAGGGATCTGCCACCTCTCAGATGAGTGCTCTACTCACTGGGCTATGGGATATTCTGGTGTGGGGTTCCCTCAGTCTCTCCTGTTGAAGCTGTTGCAATGTGGATAAATAAGTAGAGTCATGTGGGCCAGAGGGTGAGAGTGCACACAAGCAGAAGAATCACTCTGTAGCCTGGTGCTTAGAGCACTCACCCAGGAGACAGATGAGAGACCCAGGGTCCAGTCCCCTTGCTCCAATGACTCTTTTTACTTCGTTATCCAAAGTGGAACCGCTTCAACAGGAGACACAGAGGGAATCCTCCTCCCAGCTTTATGCCTTGGGCATCTAACTCCAAAGAGGTTTCCCTGTTGTGGGTGGCTAGCGGAGATCTGCACCGAGCTCAGCAGGAAGGCTGGGGCTTAGCACACCCCCCTCTTGTTGGTATCTTCCATTGGCTAGTTTAGGCAGCTCCTTGCCAGTATGTTGGCTTTTATGAATCGCATTCTGAGGCACCTCTCTCTCCCCATTCATTGTATAGGGAGCTTAGGAGCCTACCTCAGGCTGCGTGAATCGCAGTGTGTTCCTGTGATTTTCTAGGCAGCTAAAAGTTATGGCGTTGTCATGCTCAGCGTCACAACATCTAAGTACCGTTGTGAATCTAGACTGTAGCCCTTTAGTTCAAGTAGCATGACCTCATGCTTGACACTCTGAAAGGCTCCAGTTCAAGTCCTGCTGTTAGGCCAAGCGGGGTCCCTGTGTCACTTGAAATACTCAGTGAAGCGTTTATATATGGATTATTGTCTTGAAAAAAATTCTCTAGCCCTTTCCTTTCCGGGATCCATTCTCCCCAGACACCTTTCCACTAGAATAGTTACAGCTAAACTGTCTTTGACACTCTGGTACAGCAGCCTATGTGGTAAGTGGGGAGAAGGCTTTCAGGTTAATAATTCTTGTTGAGTTTGCCTGCTGGTCTGTCTCAGTTAAGGTTTCACTTGCTAGTGTCCCAAACCAGAAAGGAGCTGAGCACCTGCATTTCTTGTTGGACTCAGCGAAAGCTGAATATGTTTGGTTCCTCTCTGGGTCAGATCATATCTGAGACTTGAGAATCACCCCCTTCCTTGCCTCCAATATCTTGAAGGACTTCCTAAACTCTGCCAATGTTTAAACCTCTTCTTCTGGAGTGTTTGGCTTTTTTCACACCTGATGTGTCCACTACAAAACCATTGCCTTTGAATACTTTGGCCCTAATTATTCTCTCACACGGTTCTTACACCTTTTTAAATCCATTGATTTCAATGTGTTAATCCTGATTTATACCAGTGTCAGAGGAGAATCAGTCCCTGTATGTTATATTGAGCCTTTGATAATAGCTTTACTTTGAGACATGACCTTTGCCGCATGTGACTCGGGAACCTGAATTGTTCTTCAGTCAAAGGCCCATCACAAAGACCTAGTGTTTTAATTTGGTGTATCAATTTTGCCTGTAGGCAGATTTGTAGAATATTATGTTTATTTCAAAGACCTGTTATATGTGCATGTATTGTCACATGTGCATATGAAAGCTAAGAGCCGTTCAGTTATTGCTATGGATTTATCGCGTGCAGTGTTGACAAGCAAAATACTTACTGGCAGCTGGGTGTAAGCCTGATAGATCATTAACTGGATTTGAATGTAATCATGCAGCGCTGGCAATGACTGGTTTGCTGTTTATCACTCTCTTTTAAATGAACCTTAGGAATATAATGCTAGATTCACAAAGATTCTTTGGTGCCTAAACCCCAGACTTAGGCACCTAGTCTGGGTTTTGGGGCTAAGTCCAGTTTTAGGCTCCATTGAAATCCACAAAACTCTTACCAAATCCTGTAGGCGCCTAAATTCACTCAGCACCTAAATTTCCAGGGTAAATGTTCCCTTGGCGCCTATGTTTCTGCCTCTGAGCATGTGCGCTGCTGCCTCAATCTAAGCATCTTGACACCTAGGTCCTGCTTAAGCCCTAGAGTGATTCATGACCCTGGAAGATAGGCATTAGTCCACCTGTTTTGCATTCATGGCCCAATCTAGTAGATGTGCTCTGAGGCCTTCTGCCCCATGGGGTCCCTTTCAAAATCTGGCCGGGTGCAGAGGTGATAGAGCCCAGCTTATAATGTTCAGCCCAGTGGATCGATCTCTCTCCTGTGAGCTGCAGGAGATCCCTGTTCAAATGTTGTCTCCCCTAGTGGCAGAGGGGGGAATTGAGCCTGGGTCCCCCACATCGTAGCTGAGTCCTCTAACTACTGAACTAAAAGTTACAAGGTGGACGGCACCACCACCTCAACCTCCTCCTTGTCCCACAAGCAGGGGTTCCTGTTTGTGAATCGCTAGCAGAGAGAGGCACCTCCCTGCTGCTGGGAAGTAGGCTTCTAACTCCATGAGAGTTGCAGGGTTTAGCACACATCCCTCTCATTGGTGTCTCCCATTGGCTAGCTTTGGCAGCTCTCTGCCAAGTGTGCTCGCTTTTGTGGATTGAGTTCTGAGATGCCTGTCTCTCCCCGTTCATTGTATAGGGAGCCTCGATGCCGAGCTCCAGTTCTGTGAATTGCAGTGTTGTTCCTGTGATTTTTTTCTAGCCACCTAATAGCTAGACCTTGTGCCACTGAGTGTTACAGCACCCAAGTGCCGTTGCAAATCTAGCCCCATAGTGCATAAGCATGTTAGAAAAAGCGTTGGTGTAAGGGTAGGAAAACAGCTCAGGGTGGTGTGAGCTCTTCAAAATCTTGTGAGTGGCTTGTTGATAAGCACCTTATAACTGGACAATTACTGCTTCCAGTTCATCTGCCAGGACCTGTGTGTTAACAGTTCCCTGTATGGTGGAGAGAAAACCTGCGTGGGCAGAGTGCTGAACTGAATGTACTAATAGGTCTCGTCTGTAGTTCTGTGATGCATTACATTTTACATGGCTAAGAATTCTGAGCTCTTTCTCAGCCTTGATAGCATTAATGAGGCATACCAAGTAGAGGCAAAAGGAACCTTTTCTCCCTTCTTGATGCCTCATAAATTTTGGTTTATTTTTATGTGGGTCTGCACTGGAAATGGACCCTGAATCAAAACCGTTTCCAAACACAGCCAGGTTTTGAGGGAATTCACAATCCAAACTGAGATCTGTATCTGACAGTTGCTGTGGCCTCTACAATGGAATGTGAGATCTGAACACGCTGGATCTTTTGGGATATTCAAGATCTTAATAAGTTTTGCTGGTAGAACCCATCTCTAGTTTACACAGAAGATATCACAAGAGACATCTGTGGTTTTTTGGCAATACCAATATTGTAGGCTGAGTGAACAGAACAAAGATGAACTAAAAAAAGTCTGCATTCAGTTTTCCTGGGTAGTTTTCCTTTCCTTTTTCAGTTTCCCAGCCTTTTGTTCTGAAATGGAAATATTTATACCACTCCTCACTGGGAAGAGTAGGCAAGAGTGACGGTGCGTTCTGCCATCTTGTGGACATATGTATTAAGGCAACACCAAAGCAAGTGGTGATGTGTCAAATTTGTTCTCAACAGCATAGATACATTTAATTTTGTTAGGATTTTTTCCCATCTTTTTTCAGTTCAGCCCCAAGCTGATCTGTTGCTTTTGGTAATAAACTGCCTTTCTTTTGAAAGAGTGTACAATAATGGTTGTAGTAAGTAAAAGAATAAGGTTAACCACATTGGGGTAGAAGGAGTGTTTCTTTTCATTTGTACAGTGCCTAGCACATTGGAGAGACTATTGGAAGCAAATAACGGCAGGATATGCCTTGTCTTGTCGAAATCTGGTGGCTTCTGGGTAATACGCAATTTGTGATGACAAAAGGTGAAATTTTCAAAAAGTACCTAAGTGCCATTGGAAGTCAATGGGATGTAGGCACCTACGCCACTTAAATTCTTTTGAAAACTTTCCCCAGAGAGACTGCTGCGAATAGTCTTCAGTGGGGAAAAATATATTTTGAAGGTAAATAAATATTCTCTGATCATAGGACCCACTTTGTTATTGCAGGGCTTTGTGGTGCTGTGTTTGCCCAGGGAAGCTCAGATGCAGTGTCTGGTTTTCATCATCCTCTTAGTTTTTACCTGGCTTGTCAGCTGCTTTGACAGAGGCACAGGAGACCAAATGACTTGCCTGACATGGAAATATCACGGAGATGTGGTTCTTAGCCTTAGTGGGGAGCATGCAGCATGAGCTGCGCTTTCACATTGGCAAATGCATGGGGAGTCTGGTGGGCTTGGAAATGGTTATCACGGAATGCAGTGATCTCAGCTGATTAAATTCTGCAGATGGCAA